CATTGTTTTTTTACGTTATTTGAAAATATTAAAACGCCAACATATTTTAAAAGGCCAACAGATTTGTAAGTAGATCTACAATTTATTTTTAACCGAATAATCAACCTCTTTGGGATGTTGTAGGCTCCTTGTACATACCTACTATATTATATTGGTGTAGGTAGCATTCTTCGAAAGTTGAAGTTTTCAATTTGACTAACCTAGTTGGAATCTACCATATTTATACCCATATAAAGTTATACCCAATTTTGAGCACGTACTTTAAAACTCAACAAAATAAAAATACATTTAAAAAGTAGTACCTCAGTATTAAATTTAAAATATCATTAAAAAAAAACTGATAGCAATCGTCAAACGTTTCCGCTTCGACAATGCAGCTGGGTGCAACGGTAACAGCCAACAACGTAATTTGAAACTAGAAGGCAAACAATGTAATAATAATATCTTCCTAATCACCACTTCACTCTTTCTTTCATGCTCTATGCGTGTTTAGATGCCTATCGCCAGAAACTGGAAGTAGACTGGCTTTTGTATCCAAGCAAGTATGAAGTTGGATTGTTGTGTGTGATAGAATATTTATTATATAAGATTCGTTGGAGTTTTTAAAACAAATCCTAGGTATGTTTTGTGGATGTTAAGGAAACAAATGTGGTCCACTAGTGCCGATGCCCAGGCGGTGCTGTAATATCGTCGCTTTATGGTGGATATCCTACCAACACGTACGAAGCAGTTCCTCCGCTTTTAAACTAAGGAGTGAGTAAGCTTTCTTTGCGGGAGTCTATGTTCTCCAAAGAGTCTGGTTGTCTTCAAGGCCCGAATGAATAGGCTGCTTATGGGTATACGTACTCCATTGTAGATCGCATTATCGTTTACCACCAGACGTGATGGTGGTAACATAATACAAAATTATTAATAATTTGTTAGTAAATGAAACAACATAATGTATTTTTAGTTTCTATAGCCTGTATCGGGTCAAGTAGTTGCAGCGCCTGATCAATTCAAACATGCAAAAATTTAATCTTTCTTTAAAATATGAGTATCTTTTTAAAACACCATACATTCCGTTTCGTTTCATTTCAATAATTACAAAATGGATAGTAGCTGTCATAATATAATTTACATACTTTAAAAAATTACTACATAACAATGTTTATATTAATCCAATCAACATAACTAGTTGTAATTATGCAACTCGATTCAAATGATCCTCATTATTTACGTTCAAAATATGCGAAATATATGAATCTTTTGGACATTGGAACATCGGTATGTGGCTTAATCTACATATTATATGGAAATATGTGTGTTTTGTCATTTTCGATTTTTTTTTATAAACAGCGAATTAATTTATTTTTATTTTAGTTTAACTGTTTCAATTGTCTTTCTTTTAAATCTTTTATAAGGGTTAATGTTTTCGAAAAGTGTAGATTTCTTAACCACGTTTCCGGTACATTTCTAGTGAAGGTTTTTCGATAAAAACCCACGTTTTAATACTGAAAGCAACGAAGGTCTTATGTGACGATCAGTAGCTCTTTACAAATAACACAAAACTTAGTCAAACGACCCTAAAAGCCCATTACTTGAACAATAATTCACACAACATCTTACCCAGACAAACATCCTTCAAGATAGATCTAAGAAAAAACTCAAATCTACGCGACAAAAACCTTTCAAGTAACAATAACCCTTAAAACAAATGACACAACCACCAAATTCCTACAAACCTCAACTAATGATGATGTATCACCTATCTTTGACATCAGAAAGCGACTACGATTCTGGACAAAGAATAATAAGGCTTCAGGTTAGACAGATAGGGTTTATAATCAATTGTTTTATTGGACAAGTTGGTCAGTTAGTACTGTGGTGAGTGCGGAACCAGTTTTTAATATACATTCCAGTGCAAACGGATAGAACGGTACATAATATATGAGTACTTGTGTCTATGGTGCAGGGTCTAGGGAACTAGTTTTTGTGCAAGGACGAAACAGACATTTGCGGTCAGTATAGCTTTTGAAGTCATCACTTGGATTTTATGCCCATTTTTGTGGAGGGAAACTCACCAAATAACTTCTCTTGCCCAGAATATGGCGAGATGGAATTACAGACTACTACTGACAAAAAACTCTCCAATTCTTCTCCTGGTCCAGACTAGCGTTTTTACTTACTACTGTACGGCCGACGTATCTTGGCGAGTCTGAAGTTAGCCGTTTGTCTGTGCGCAGCTTATCGGCTAACTTCAGACTCGCCAAGATACGTCGGCGGTATTGTAAAATTATTGAAAATGACGATTTACCTACTATCATAATTAACTGGGAAAAGTCTTTAGTTTCTGCGCGACGTTGCTTGCCGCGAGGTGCACGCTGCTTACAAATAAGAATCCTATCCTGACTTGAAACTAGTAGAGGATCATTCTCGATGTCGTCATTTTCAAAAAACTTATCAGTATCACTTTTTGCAGGTTTCCCTGATGAAGTTGCTAGTTCTGTAATGTTATGACAAACAAAGTTTTATACAATTGTAAGACTGGTAGAAGCATAAAACGTTCTTTCTGTTAGATTGTTTCGAAATCCTTGGCAATTCAGATACATGGTTCTCAGTTAATTTTGATCATTGGATAGGTTTAGGCGTAAGCAAGTGCAATAATATACTGCGACTCCGGCTTGGAGCAGGAGAAGGAATGGAAGTCAATAAGGGTCTGACACTCTCTCTCTCGCCCTACCCATGGATTTAGATAGATACTATTCGAACCTCAAGAAAGTTGGAAGTAAATACTTGTAATTACCAAAACTAAGTTTAACATTTAAATTATTTCAACATCGTCTAGTTAAGTACTTCCTAGAAAATGAGGAGACACTTAAAATACTTCACACATACTTAAAACGGTACCACGGTGATGTATTCGACAAATTATAGCAAAACTGTTTTGGCGTCAAGTTATTATTACGGGATTATGTATGTGTGTGTATAAGTCTATTTAAAGAATAAACATAATGTTGTGTACGTTTGATATCATCTGTTAGGTCACTGACCGATAGAAAAGCCACTCTTCTTGGTAGTTGTCATAGCTGACTAGAAGCCGAAATAGAACCGATCTTAATTTCAGAAATTCAGTGACGGTCCTATTAATGATAAGTGAGGAATAAAAACGGCGCCTTTCTAGTCTAACACCTCTCGCGTTTTCTGTTTTTGTTTTTTTTTGATAGGACGATAAATGAATAACAGGAGTAAGGATTGTTTTGCTCAGCTTTTGGGAATTAAGGATTTGAAGATTTTGGGATTAGGGAAGCATTGAGGGAGGGGAAGGATTGGGCCTCCGGTAACTTTACTCACACGGCGAAACAACGCTGTGGTTGTTTAACGCTGGTTTTCAGTGGGGCCATGGTATCACTCTGGTCGAGCCGACCCATTCGTACCGAGGCATGACTCTCCTACACTTTGTGCCGCATTAAGGTTCGTTTTGGTGCCTTCTTAAGAGTCAGACACTCCCTCGTGCTCTACGCACGGCGGGAGAAGCAATTTGATGATATGCTCACATCAAAAACGAAAACTGTTTAAAACAAAGACCTCTCAGAACTAATGCAAGTACCATATTATTTCAAAATCTACTTTCATTCATACGAAATAACCCTCCACTCTCGTATTCAAACCCCATAGCCCACATTTACGTTTACAACCGAGGGTCGACAGGCCAAAAATGTCGTTCGCGAGAAAACTCAAAAATACGTGGTACTTTCACAATGAAAGTACAGCATGGAGGCACATTTTTCATTTTTACGGCTTTACCTACCCTTAGTTGGTACTTTCTTACCGGCTTGGTAAATAAGTTACCTGCCCCTTGGGGTACTGTTGATCATCGTTTGAGGGTTACTTCTGATTCCGCGGTAACTCCACCTTTTTGGTTATGTTTTTAAAGTTGCATTTGCTATGGTTAGTGGTTGGTAGTTATTTATTTATTAAGTTAGAATTATGTGGTGACAGAAATCACATCTGTTTTTCAGGAAAGTAAAGAATGTTTATAGGTGTGCTAGCGTTTGCCAACGGCTACGCCCGCGTGGGTGTCGATTTTACGCTCTTTCAAATTTTTTTTAAATTTCTTCTACGTGCCTTACAAACCTTCTTTGGACTTCCACGAATAATTCAAGACCAAAATTAACGAAATCGGTAAAGTTGAGTTTGTTTGTTGGGTTATAAAGTTATAAACATTACAACGAAAAGTGGCAATGATTTTCATATAGGAATGTATGTATAGATTTGATAGTGATAAATACAAAATAGTTTTTCAAGAGATGTCGAAGACCAGTCATAGATAAAGGCATGATCAGCAATAATACTATTGAAACGATGGTCAATAATTGTCTATTTCTATTAAAATAACTTACTACATTATATGGCAACCACCTTTCCTAAACAACATTACTACTTATAGAGACAAATAGTTATATCCTTAACTACAATATAACACAGCATAATATAAACATAGTATTTTAATAAATATTCACACACAAATTCAATGCAGATTTATCTAAATCGGCACCTAAAGCGTAGGTAGCAGAGTTTAATGTTATCTGCATAAATCATGAATGCATCGCTTCGCAATACAAACTTCAACGTTCTTGTGAGTTATCTTCAATATATTCAGTCAGTCAGTCAGTCATTCACAATGGTTGACTCACTCGGGAGGCGTTCGATTGCCAGCCGAATATTAATTGCACCATCGCATCGCTACGCGAATCGTTTCATCGATTTCAATGCACGCCACAGACAATTTTGACGAAATTGTTTTTCGATATGGAAATTGAAGAGGCATTCTGTTTGATTGACTGATAAATGTGACTTATATTGTTTTTAATTCCACTTTTCCTTTCTTTTCATTTCAATTAGTGAAGGGTTGAATGAACTGTAATTTTCTTCTAATTAAGCGTGTACATGTAATTAGTGTGTGTATTGTCCAATTAAGGCCAAATATTTAAGTGTGGGAGAGCCATGCTTCGGCACGAATGGGTCGGCTCGACCGGAGTGATACCACGGCCTCACAGAAGACCGGCGTGAAACAACCTCAGCGTTGTGTTTCGCCGTGTGAGTGAGGTTACCGAAAGCCCAATCCTTCCCCGCCCCCAATCCCTCCTGAATCCCTAAATCTCCAAATCCCTTATCCCTAAAAGGTTGGCAACGCACTCGTAACTCCTCCGTTGCGGATGTCCATGGGCGGCGCTGATTGCTTACCATCAGGTAATCCGTCTGCTCGTTTGCCGACCAATTACATAAAAAAAATTACCAAATTTATGTATAATCAATCATAAATGAAGCAAGCAGCCATAATAATAAAAATTTTTGAAAGGGAAAAATCATTGTATGACTTCTATAATCCTGCGTGGGGAAAAGGGAGTTTCAGACTCTAATTGACTAAAGACCCCACCGTTCTTTATCTTAGTCGTAGTCGAGGATGCGGTTCATTTTATTGCTTACTAATATTATAGGCGAAAGTTACGATGTTTGGATATTTGTAACTCAATCACGCCAAAACAGCTTGACGGATCCGGATCAAATTTGGCATAGGCAAAGGATACTACTCCGGAATAAGACATAGGCTACTTTTTACCAACATACCACGCGAGCGAAACCGCGAGCGGAAACTAGTTCATTTATTTATGTATGCTGGGTGCATACATAAATAAATGAACTATGATAACTATATTTATGTATGCACCCATAACTCCGACTGAAGGAAAACAATAAAAAAAATGCTTTTTTATTCCGCGCATAGTTAATTTTTCTACGTAAGTACTTCTCAAAGATTAATGTTCGCATTATTATATTTTCGAACAAACATAGCTTTCTATGTTGCCCAGACTGTGTCCAGCGTTAAAGATTAGTATAAAACGGCTTAATGAAGTAGGTAAGCTCTTAATCCAATCTATAGGACGTTGTGAGGCTGCATTACAGTAGAGAGTCAGCACTTTTAAAGGTGTTTACCCATTAGAGGCGGCGAGATTGTCGCGCGGTTACTGGCGGAGCCATTGCCGCGCGGTTATTGATTATGACAAAAATAAATTAATTCGACGTTTTAATACGATAAAACATCGAAAAATAACTATACTTTTATTCATCGATATGTCGATACACTAAATTTATCGTCATTTTTTAGGTAGATAATTTTTAGAAATAAGTAAGTTATTTGACACTAAAATACTATGATGTCATAATTTGGAATTTCATAAAAACCTCATTAAAGTATTGTTTTTGATATTTGGATAAAAGCATTGAATTTGAGCAGTTGGAAACTACCGTATTCTAATGCTGATGACCTTCTAAAGTGGAACTATAAAAGTTTAACTGAACTTGAATATATTAAAATACAGATAAAATTAAACAAAAATTTGTTAATTATTTCCTGAGGGTACGAACAAATGTTTGTATGTACAATTTATTGTACTATGTAAGAATTTTATGTATATTACGTGTACTGCCTAAGATTGTTTGACTCATGGCACATATCCTCAGCAAATTAGCTCCAGTTTTTACTATCAATTTAGCGCCCCGATTTTGTACGGATGCAATGCTGATACTAAATTTCTCCACTATTTAATGGACATTTTTCTACATATAAACCCTCTTCTTCAATTACTCTGTCTATTAAAAAACATCATCAAATTCTGTAGTGTGGTTTTGAAGATTGAAGCATACAAAGGGATGAAGGGACAGAGAAAGGGCTTATTTTACACTATGTAGTAATGGCACGATATTATAGGACAGATGAAGTGTGAAAAACTGACTGTTAACTTATTGAAAAATTAAATAAAGTTTCTAGACTGTAGAAATTGAAATTATCATAAGCCTCATATGTAATAAATTATTGTTTCCTTGTCCTCAGTATCGGATATCGGGCACAATATAATCCAGGATGCGTTCCTCATTGCCGTGGAGGAGCAGGCGCGGCAGCGCTTGCAGCGGCTCTCAGCCCTCAAGCGGATCACGCCTGTTGACATGTCCAAACTCTCTGTAGAGGTAAGCTTAAAATCATTACAACAAAGTTTCTAACTTATACAACAAAGTTAAACTCCTTAGATAGTTATATCTGAAATCAAAACCATATAATTGCTTACGACAGTTTTATATAGAGCAAAGGAACAACATTGTTTTTGAGGTAGAGGAAATACTCGTACCATCACGTCTCAAGTTCTGAGTCGGGCGAGAGAGAGTGTCAGATTTTTACTGACTACAAACCACCCTGTGTATCTTCTGCGTTATTTTTCTTCCCAGGTGAGCATCGGTTCTACTGGGCCTCTTTGTGATGGTCTAATGGCAATAACATTGAATTAGGTCTAGGGTTAGATTCTCGCACCCCGCCCACGTGAAAGACGGGGCACCAAGTTTGGGTTTTAGTCTGACAGTCCCCAGGCCAAGGGGCTTTCCCAACTTGGGGCAAAAAAATGGTCCAGGTATTAACCTAGTCCATTTTTTGTATAATGTATTAACAGTTAACAAATAATTAATTATTGTTTAGGTCATCAAATTTCACCAAATCTCACATATAACGATACAATCTTGTATCAATATAAAATATACTGATCTAAACCTACTGTTCGCAATGATAAGGAAGATATTTGTTCACCTGCAATAAACCATATTACTTCATAATTGTTACACAAACAAATCACGTCTCGCAACGTGACAAGTCCAAACTGTCAACAGATGATATAAGGATAATATGTATACATTAACATGTTATGTATCATAATGCATCTTGTTTACTACTTAATTATAAGCTAGAATATGCATAATAACTGATTATTCAATGTTAACAATAGGCGGTGAAGATCGCGCGATAGACTCGCGCGTTGTTTAAATAGTTTGCAGAAATCGCGAGGTACAGTGTGTGCGTACCTTAAGTATTGATATAGGGGTGTGGGTAGTCAACGTTTGAAAATAATTAGTAGGCTTTCACCATCCAAAACCATCTCTTTTATGTCATAGGTCGGCAAACGGGCTGGCGGAATACCTGATGGTAAGCAATTGGTGCCGGCCTCTTGTTATTAGGGATTTAAGGAAAGAGGATTGATGGGGGAGGGGAGAAGAATTGGGCCTCAGGTAACCTCACTCACACGGCGAAACACAACGTAAGTGTTGATTCACGCCGGTTTTCTGTGAGGCCGTGGTATCAATCCGGTCGAGCGGGCCATTCATGCCGAAGCATGGCTCTCCCACACTTATCTTACATTTATATAGCAATTTTCTAAATGTCTTTGTTACTCGCTAGATCTGAATTCCTTCTATTTATACGCATAACATTAAATACTATACATTAGGACAAAGGCACAAGTGCAGTTGGCCTGCATTCAGTCCACCACTCCACTTGACGAGGCCACTTGAGTCCGGTCCACGGCACACGATGTAGCGGGCAAAGATACACAGAACATAGAAAAATATAATCACAAAAGTCAAATGAGGGAGAGCGGCATGCTTTCGCTGTAGTGATACCACGGCTTCACAAAACACCAACGTGAATTAATGTTTGCGTTGTGTTTAGCTGTTTGAGTAAGGTTACCAGAGGCCAAATCCCTTCCATCCAGTCCCATCGCCAATTTTTTATGTTATAATTCGGTAAACGGTCTGACGGATTACCTGATGGTATGCAATCAGCGCCGCCCATGGCCACTCGTAATACCATAGGAATTACTAAAGTGTGGCGCCGGCATCTGGTCTCCTGCAGTCATTATTAGCGATTTAAGGATTGAAGATTTGAGGGTTAAGCACAACTACTCTGGTAGTTAGAATCGATTAAATATCTTTATAAGATTTTGTTTAACGATGTTATTGATTAGTCCAGTTTGGGATTCTTCTGTCATAATCATCATCATCGTCATTAGCATCAGCATCCGTTCACTGCTTGACATAGGCTTCACCAAGAACATGCCACTAAGCTTTTGAGTTATTTTTTCCTAATCGCATCGGCAAATTTAAGTCTTATGTAAACAAAAAAAGGAATCTTATTCAGACCAACTTACAGTGCCAATTTCTCTTTTACAATAACATTACAAGCTTTAAGAAATACAATAAACAATATCTTACTAGGAAAAACAACATTTCTCGTATAAAATTATTTAGTCACTACTGTGTGAGAACAGCTAGCTCCACTAGCTTGGTTTCCAGTTCACCACTCGACGACGAAGGCACTCGACTCGATGGCCCAAGTTAGTTTCCACAGCGTATGTAGATATGAGGAGCACGGACAATAGATTAGCTAGGACAATGCGCTAGTGAGCTGGCCTGCATAGACCAACAAGGCACACTTGACAACGCCACTTAATTCCGGTCCAAGAGAATGGCACAGCGGAGTGCATACGCTGTTTGTTGGGAAACATCCTACTAATATTATAAATGTGAAAGTTTGAATGTATGGATGTATGTTTTTTATTCTTTCACGCAAAAACGGCCGGCCGACCCATTTAGTTATGGTATGTAAATAGGTGGATATCCTGGATTAACACATAGGTTTTTAATCAACATACCACGCGCGCGAAGTCGCAGGCGGAAGCTAGTACACAACACAGTAGTAAAAATAATTGAATTATGTTCTTCAAAAACAGTAGGTATCTTAGTTTGATATAAATTAATCTAGTTTTGGGGAGTCCTAATTCAAACAAGGCTTTGTAATAAACGTGTCAGTTTCGTATTATGATAAAATAATGTCTTGAAAAAACCTTAAAGCGCCAAATGTTGAAACATAAAACAATGAAACAGCCATGGACTATTATTACAAACGGTCAAAATGTTTTCGTTAGGGTATCTGGCATCTGATATTTGACTGTTTCATATCGTGTGTCGCTTCTGCCTTGGCCCACACCCCAGACGGTTTGTACCGTCATCTCCGGACGATTCGTTAGTTCCATTTGCAGCGGAGCGCACTTGATTCACTCGCTCGCTTCTGATTATTTCAATAACATTTGCTGTTAAAACAGGTGAAAAAATCCGCTTTCAGCTTCATCGTTCACTGGAAAATGCGAATCGCATTTACATTTTTCTCCGTTATTTTCAACTTTAACTTGTTTTTGTATATCTTATTTGAGAATGGTTCAGTTGCTATTTTTGAAAGCTTGTTGTATCAATTTTTAAAATGGAGTTCTCAGTTCTTCTTTTTATTAATGTATTTCAATATTGCGTTGCTTGTCCGTGGTCTAAGGCCTAAACTTGACTAGTTCAAATGTGACTTTTTAAGGTAAACCGTACAGCGCTGTTTCTCACTGACAAACGGTGAAGCAAAACACCACGAGCAAAACTGGACTCACAATTTCAAAAAGTTTGAAATCACTAATCTGTTTTGAGCAAGCATGCCGATTAATGTTCAATACTTCTCGCTATGAGAATAAATTGTCTTTGCTCAGCAGTGGACACTTATAGGCTGATGATGCTATGTGAGTTCAATATTCATTTCCACAAACTCTAATTTCTATGAAATCAATTGCAGCAATTACTTGATTGATCTTTTATCCTTGAACCTGGGATAACCAATTGATATCGTCAATGGATAAAACAATTACTCAATTGATGTTCTAATGGAGTAGAATTAGCTTTATGCAAGTTTTTGTTAAAAGTGTATGTGCGGTGAAAAAACACACAGGGAATGTACTCATCTAATAAAAAATACCTTCAGGCTTTATGTCACTGTGCGGTCCTGTGATACTTATGCTGATTCGTGCAGAGCTTACAGAGTTCCTAGTCTAAGTCTAGTATACCTAGTCGATACAGGTCAAAGGTCGTAGCAGCTAAGGCTATCCTTCTATATGAGATTATGAGGCTGATAGACTTATTCAGTCCATTTCAGAGAAGGATAAGATACAAAATGAGAATACATTAATCAATAATGATCATATGAAGCCTAAAACAGGGAACATTTATCAAGTGCTTAAACCCAGAAACGCTAATTCCAATAGTTCACACAAAAAATACGAAAAAAGGTTTAATAAGTAGTTTCAAAAAATGTTTCTCACAAAATGATCAGCTTCAGTATAATGCCATCAAGAGTCCACTTGTTGCATCGCGTTTTTAAATGTCCCTGTCAAGTGGAGTTTTTGCCACTAATTGGGGTCGAGCATACCGTGGCGACATATTGTTTGGTACTATTAAAATTTTTCATAAAAAACCATGACACTGTCATCTGGTGTACGTTTAGCTAAATGGCTTTCCTCTTTTGTTGTCTTCGCAATTTTTATTAAAAGTTTTATAATTTTTAGGGTAGTTTTTGTACTACACAAAATTAAGGTCTCATTTTCTGATATGCGGCAGACTTTTCGTGCGGTTTGTCATACATTGCTCATTATGTTCGTATGTTTGTTTTTGCGTGAGCGTTGACGCCGTCTGCTGCAGCGATGTACGACGAATGTATTATACACGACGCGTCGCCCCGCGAGTGCGTCAAAACATGTCTTTCATTTACCGAAAGAGGTTTTTTGAACTGTCTGTGGCTTTATGAGCTAGTTCTGTATTGACATACGAAAATAGAATAGAAGACACGCCCCTATACGGGGTACATTTCTCGATTTCCTACTTAAGTTTAAAATATTTTTTTATGTAATAGGTCGGCGAAGCCGTCATGAACACCCGCCACAACAGAGGAGTTACGAGTGCGTTGCCGACCTTTTGGGGATTAGGGGAGGTGAAGGCTTGGGCCTTTGGTAACATCATTCACGCGGTGAAAAACATCGCTGTGGCTGATGTCAATTTCTTCTTCACTGGTATTTTGTACCCGATACTGTCAGTGATTATCTTCTCAGCAAAGCACGTTTATGTTTTTTATCACCATCTTGGAGCGGTACGGAAACCTACACTCGAGTAATCGTGTTAAATGTGCTGCGAACGGCGATAAGTGGCTGTGATGGCTTTAACATGGCTGGGTTCGAATACCGTATGAGACACAGCTACAATATATGTATAAGAACACATAGTAGTACGGAAACTATAAGACAATCTTGGGCTATTAGTAAGTTGTAGTATTCGAAACGTAATTTTGAGGTTATATTAAGCATATTTTTTAATTTTTATTTTTGTTATTAAAAAGTATCCTATGTCCTTTCCCGAGTTTCAAACTAAATCTCTACCAAATTTCACAGAAATCGATTCAGTAGTTTAGGCGTGAAGAAAAGACATACAGACAGAGTTACTTTCGCATTTATAATATTAGCTTGCTAAAGGTATTGCATTCCTTTTGTAATTTAATTCTGCATTCCTTCATTTTGAGGGGATGAAATCCTAATGACTTCTCCCGCCGTGGGTGAAGCGAGGAGTGTCACTACTGGCTATAAACCACCCTGTACCTTCTTTTGCTCCAAGACGGGACCAGGGTACATTTATAATTGCGGTTGCACCTGCAACTCCTTCCCCACAGTGATATGGCAGGATAGTCTAACAAGATAGTTTAACAAGAAGATAAGACTTATTCGCTGCAGATCTCAAACAGGCAGGCCAACCTCAGAGGGTCTTCGTCAACGAGAGTCAAACTCACTCTAATGCAAAGCTGATTTCAATATCCTTTGAGTAATATTTAGTTCCACATTCAAATTGTGCAATCTTTTTTAAAAAAGGTTTTACCTTTGGCAAATTATGTAATAGAAACATTGCAATGATATAGCAACTTCGGCTATTGGTTAATTAATATAGTCCTTTTTACAAGTTTTTTATTTCCAAGTACCTATTGTGAACAAAGCTGGATCTCACGAAGAAGTTTTTATTCACTGAACGAAACCTTAGCTACTTTCATGTTCTACGTTCTAAAGCGAAAGAGATCTTATATGTTCATTTAATAAATAATTTCTGTTATGATTTATAACAGACAATAAGGTCAGATACCTCTTGTACGCCTTGACATTGTACAGCTAATAGTGAATTAAAACTGTACCGACGTTTTTCAAGGTCCGTCAAAATTGAAATAATTTTGAATAGAATTGAATTAATTTATCCGGTTGCATTGTTGGTGTATTGGACTAGATTCAATGTGGTTATTAAGTAAAATTGCTTGAGAAAATCATATGAATAGCTATAGATATAGATTTGTTTAAGGCAGGAAAGTCATTATATTACTTCTGTCGATGAGGTACCTTAGGATGAGGTTAGGGTCTTTCTCCCATTCCATGCCGAGGCCGCCGTACCTTAAGCTTGCCCCGCAAACCCGGCTGAACTTCGGCCCTGGCTCCATCTGTGGTGGTCTATTAGACGCTTCGAGCCATACGCTCGGGTTTGGTCTTGTCGGTCGGCGAGCTACCCTTGCTCGTCATCATTAGACTTTCAAAGTTATGCTCAGTGCATCGCTGTTAATTTTATCTCAAACTAGAGTAAAATGATCTAGCCATATGCACTTTAAGTAACCTTTTTAATTTAGTCATGAAAGTCATTATACTTGCATTATGTACAGTTAATTAAGTTATGATACCATCAATATTGCACGTTCAGTCTGCAGACAACAGCATTCAATTACACTATCTAATTTGTGTTGTAATCGGGTCAAGATGACATTGTCGCCGGATTAATTATCTTATATGGCCCTGTATCACTACTAGGTATAATTTAATACAGCTGAATATCTTGGTTTCACAGAACTTTGCTGTTCGTAAACTTTTTTCAAGGGTTGTAAAGGGTTTTAACTGGTTTACTAGCTTAAAAACTATGGGCGACTGTAAATGTTGACAAAAAACTGAACTAAAGAAAATAATTATTAACAAAATGTTTCTGTATTCATTATGTTCTGTCTTCGTTCCAGCTAAACCGCAGAAAACGAACTCAGCCGGAAAACAGACAAGAGCTAAACGGCTACATAGCGAACTCGACCGTTTACGTCACATCGATCAACGAGAACGGAGCGATCGAGAGCAAGCCCACCATATCCTCTCCGAAAGCCCAACCCAAATCCCTCCAGGCGAAGCCGGCCCCAGTCATAGCTAACGGAATCGACAAAAAGAAAGAGAAAGACATAATAAAAGAAGAAGATAAAGTGGAACCGGAGAAACACGAAGGTGACGCGAGTGAAAAAGTTAAAGTGGTCTGTGAAAGTGATAGTGGTGTGGTAGTGGATAGGGATATTAGTGACGCGTATAGTGTGGCTAGGGAGCACCTGAACAACGGCAGGAGCGAGAAACTGATTGGGGAACAGCCTGACCATAGGATCAGGGCTACTGCCATCGTCGAGAACAATAAACTCGGACCAGGAGAAAATCGGTGAGTTTTAGCTGATAGACTATTTGAATAAATCGTCTAGCCGTTGACAGACTTTTCTATAAAATCATAATAAAAGTGGACTTCCTATTTCATACCCATTATGCTTTTAGGAACATCTCACGGCGCATATTCGTGGCGGATCTAAACCCAATGTTTTAAATATGAAAAAGCAATATGATTGAGTTATTATTTTGTATAATTGTAGTGCCAGCTTAAAAAAAAACTAGCTTGGAACAACAGCGCATAGATATTTATCGTTTTACATAAATTATATGAAAATTGAAACAGATTTAATTTCCAATCTTTTTGTGAAGATTTTAATTGTTCGAATGATGAGTACTTTGTTAATGGAGGGGTCGTTTTATTTTTTGGTTTCGAGATTTGATTTGATAGGTCAAGCTATTTGAGAAAGATCCGGGTAAAGTAAAAAGTTTTAATTCTTATGATTTCAAGTTTATACCCAAAGTGTATCGAATTGTCTACAAGAGGGAGTTATTAGTAAATAATAAACACGGTCTTGGAGATAATTGCCATGATTACCTTAATTTTAGAACCAATTTAACACAAAAAACAACATCCTATTAAGTTTAGCAAAATGATGAATTTAAAAATAATTCCAAATTGATTGATTGATAAAACCGTTGTCTTAGAAAGTGAAGGAGGTAGGAAAATATTACACTGACAGAACAGTCCAAGGTCGATAGTCAGTTAACTGAACATATACCATTGAGATCAGATTACCAAGATACAGTTTCAACTTACCAAGTCTTGATTATTCCTCTTAATTTTGTTATTACAAGTCCCAAGTGCGTCTTTTGAGATTGTGATGGGAGTTCCAAGGGGTTTTAATGATGTATTCTGAGTAGTTTTAGCTTTAATGCCTTTGTTAAAGTTTTCGGTAGTTATAAGTCCTCCTTTATTAATGTGTATATCGTTTTGTGTAATTATTGAGCGATTTTTTGGGCTTACTAATAATTATAGGTGCTATTGATGGTCTAAATATTTTTGTGAAGGTTGTTCATTTGCAAACCATTTGTTCTTAATTCGTAAGTAATATGTTCTTCAGTGCACGTTAAGTCCTCCAAGACTTCAGATGACAATCTAACCTAATATTGCCAATATCTAAAATGGGGTATTTATTTATTTGAGGAAACGTTAGTCTCTTACTGATTAAACCAATATGCAGATGTGGACGTCGGTAGCTAGGTACCAGGAAGGGAGAATTCAAATCCATCCACCGACTTCAAAGTTACCTAACTTAGGATTCTCATAAAATGCCATGCATTCAAAAATGTTTGTGCTTCCATTCTATCTTCTATGGTATTTTAATTAAGTTCCCTATGACGGTGGACGTCGGCGCTAGGCTTCATACCCGCCATTTTGTTTTAATTGGAAGGTTAGCGTAGTACAGCTGACCGTTAGCTTTGCGTTATCTTAAGGATGATCTGTAATCAGAATTACTTGGATCCTATCATTATTAAAAAATAGCTTTTCTTGGTTAATACTTTCTTGCTTATGAGGCAATTAAATTTCATTTAGATCTTTTAGGTTTTAGGTTTAATTTAGGTAATAGGTAGGTTAATTTAGGTTTCCGATAAGCAGTTATATTAATTTTGTGTGGGATTCCCACAAATGAATCAGACAGACACTTGATTTGTCTGTCATCTATATCATTAATTCGCACATAAATTTACTTCGTACTTATCTATATATGTATTTTAGAATCGGAGGCCAAGATTCTGTTCTTTGAATGCCTTTTTTGAGGGTGTAGATGATCATATGACTTCTACCGCTCTGATTGGGAAAGACTATCAGACTCTTACTGAGTAAAAGCCACCCCGATTCTTCTCCTGCTTCAGGTCGGGATCGCGGTATATTATATGACATACATATGTATTGCACATGTACCCGTACCAAAGTCTTTGGACTATGAATATTAAAACACATAATAAAAAATATGCAAATATAAATGCGACGTCTTTTAATGTAGTGGTTTTCATTATTAATTCATTCACGTCTCTTCCGCGTTCAGAGATCGGTACGATATCATGGATATTGGCAAGCTATCGAGATGGTACCAAGTTTGAATACCTTCCTTGGTTATTAAACAAGATTGAGTAATGTAGTGTCCATTCTGATGTGTATTCTTTCTTCGTACAGTGAATTAATTCCCTTATTTGATACTCGCCAATTCGTCAAATTTAATACTTTTTTCGAATTGTCATAATTGTCAGTTTCCTATGAATGTTTTACGAAATGTGTGATGAGGTTTGTTCTGTATTCTGAGGTGATGAGATATATGATAGGTTTTTTTTGCGTCAAATAATTATAATATAGGAATAAATAATCAAAACGAATACAAGGCTCAATAGAGTAGATCAATGAATGAAGCTTATTGCGTTGAATAGTCAAAATAAATTTATTTTAGGACTAAGCAGTGTATTTAATTAAAATGATAAACGGAAAATACAGGCTTGACATGGAAAAGAAAAGCAGCAAAATGTTTTACAGTGATAAAATAACATTTTCTGGACATGAACTTGAAGTAAAATGGTTTTTGAATATTTTTTTAATAAACCTGAATATGATCGAAAGATGTGCAGGAGGATCGTGATCACTGCCCAACAGATGATGAAATCAATGAGGATAGATCAGCTGATGAAAACTAAGACATGTACCCTTTAGCCAGTCTTTATTTAATCAACCAACGCAACGTTTGAAATTCCTACATTATTATAATTTTAAATAAGACAGTCTACCGTTTATTATGGAATTCTTGAGTTACAATTATTCATCTAAGACGTAAAAGCATAAGGCACTAACAATACATTCGTGCTCGCGATTATAATCCGTATTTCAATTGCAGTATGGTTATGAATACTTTGATAAACAATTAACTTAGCGATTTATAGTTTTAATTGTGTCTTGGGCAATCCCTGACGCCGTTTTCTGACGTCATAAAACAGCAATTGTTCAATGATTGCTTGAGTCATCAATAATAATTGCAGTGTATAAAAAGAGTAATAATTCTGCGCAATTATATAGTTTACATATGTGGCTATAATTGTGTCTATTTTTCTTTTTTTAGCAAAATATTTTGAGTGTTGTTTTTGAGTATTATTATTTTAGTATTATTTTGAGTTCTTTTGCTTTTGTAGCTGTTCATTCAATTCGATAATTAAATTTATGTATTTATTTATTTAATTTAGGTAATATAATATACGATATTACTTCGAAACCGTTACTTTTAACAAAACGTAACATTCTCAGTGTTTATGTACAAGCCAGTACATACCTGATAACTTAAAATAACTTTTACACGTCGATTTATATGTGAAAAACTAGATGAAGCCGGCATTTCCTGTCTGACTACTCTGAGAAGAAATGCCGAAACTCATAGTTCAGTAAATCACACAAGCTGATGAAGACGAGCCTTAGTACTTTATCAATTTAAAAATCATACAAAAATGTATAAAAAAATATGAATATTAACTAAATTATTCGTCTCATCTGCGACCTTGCGCACGCGCAACCTCCAAGAGGCTTCTTGATCACGCTAGGCAAAAAACCAGGCAAGGTTAATTGTCTGGATTCATGTCTATCTTTTTAATTAATTTTTATTTTATTCGTGTTATTTGACTGGATTATTGAAACAATTGAAATACCTATTTGTTGTTAGATGCCATATATTTGTTTATTATACTGTTTATATCATAATTTTATAAACACTATCGAATAACACGAGAAAAAGTAAGCTGCAATTGCATTGCTTAATTATTTCTCAGGATTTCTTTTTTTTAAATGTTAATTTAGTAAATATTTCCTATTTATTAGGTAATATATGATACTAGGGACAGTGGCTAAACATGATTATAGAGATGAACGTCGAAAATTATTATAGACTTTATTTTATTTATTTATTTATTTATTTAAATAGGTTAGCCAACAATTATTACACTTTTTCATTACTGTTAATAAAAGATATAACACATTTGCGTGTATAATAACCACTTATTAGCTAACACAGCATGCACAATAGTATTATTACTTACGACTTAAAACTGAGTTTAGCGTAAACTAGCTTCAGTACTTTGCATTGAAACGCAATTTGAAAATAAAACCTCCTTAGACATCTAAACTGAGTTTTGTTTGACGTAATCATAATTAACACTATTGCTGAAAATGGTCATTAGATGGCGCTGAACGCAAACCATCAGATGTGTTTGCTCGTTCGCGAGGGCTCCATAAAAAATAAACCAAACTGTATTATCATCCTTAATAACGCTATGTGCACCATATATTCATCCCATTTTATCTCGGTACTACCAGTAGGTATGACAGTGATATAACTGTAATTATGTACGATAAGATCACGATAATGCTGACCGGTATTGGACGGAAAATTGCGTATCAATGTTTAGATACTGGTTTTTAATTAAACGATGGTTCTGTTTGATAGGCTATTTATTAGATAAAATTCTTACTTTTATAATACGGGGTTCATAAAAGTACCCTAAACAGATAGATAGATAGCTTATATGTATATGTAAGTTATGTGGTATGCGCAATAGTAGCAGTAATAGTAATTTATTCGGTACATAGCAGCTATTTATATAATTTTAATTAGGCTTTAATTAATGTAATAAGTTCATGAAATTGATTGACTTTCTTTTGAGTTACAATAGAAAAAAATATATAATATGACTGCAGATCCTGAGAATGAACAGCGAAATAAATTACATTGCATCTGCTTTAATTCACAGATCTTACAAGATCTGCTGCACCCATTTTATACAGTTAAGTGTAAGGAACCCAAAAGACGCAGTTATTATAATTTTCCTGTCCGCTGATCGACGCAGACGCACTAGTTAGTTACAATTGCGAACCACTCCCGTTACCCGCTAGATGGCATTAGTGGCGTTTATGGATCAAGAAGAGACGAGGTTAGGTTAATTAGATAATTTTAAGTGTATGATGTTGAGGATTTACCAGTTTTATAGTGAC